CGCAAGGATGGCACAATTACACAGAAGACAAACACTTTGAGCCCTGAAGATGATCTCAATAAAAGATCGAAACGTTGGCACGATAAAGAAAATGTTTTTCTGAAACCTACATCACACCCGACCGCATCTCACGATATCTGAATAACTATCGATTAACGGTCACTAATCTCTACACATTGTGTGGTGTTAAGTGACCGTTAGTTAATGATTATTTGGAGATCGTGTGATGAAGTCTGGTATGACGTAGGTTTTAGAAAAACATTTTCTTTATCGTGCCAACATTTCGATCTTTATTGAGATTACCTTCAGGGCCTGGGATTTGTAAACATTGTTTAAATTATACAAATACATGTACGATGTATCTCACGATCTCCAAATAATCATTTAAACATTCTTCAAAAACAAACTTCAAAAATCAATTCTTAAAAAAAATACTAAACCCAAAATTAATTTTTTTCAACAAAACTGTTTTTTAATCAATTTAATTCGATTAAAAATTGGCATATAATAACAAGTATAGCCCCCTGGCTAATATTAGTGTTCCCATCCTTATTGGCATACTCGCAAAACGTTTTTATAGAAAATCCCGACTTATGTTGTCACACTCTTCCAATAACGCCGCCTTTAGCATTTCAAAGGTTGTTGATCCTGTGACCGGGCCTTTCTTCTGAGATGACAAAAATGAATTCTGAGATTGTCTCAAACGTGTTCAATTGCGCTAAGGTCTGGACTTCTTGCCGGCCACTCAAGGGACTGGTACCTACTCGGTGCGTGCCTTCCAAAATAAGCCGCCCCAGAACATCAACCTTTCGTCAAATGAGATTGTTTGCCCTCTATCGTGCTTCAGATTTTTTCACGGCCATCTGAATTGTTAAGGGCCCTTTTTGTGTTATCGGTAATTATAATTTTTTTCTATTCCTCTATAATCTTGATCTAAGGTTGTCACTCTTCGACCTCTCTAACAGATGACTACATGAGATCCCCCGATTTCTAGCGGTCAAGGTTTTGATTCCGGATTGTTTGCATTTTAATAAAACTGTCGTTTGTGTATCGGTTATCTGGGACACCCTGAATTTGGTCGTCCCGAATGACCCCTAGTCTCTTTGTACCTTTTAATGGTTCTTCAAACTGAGGAGTAATTAATGTCAAGGCGGTTAGCGATGTAGTGCAATGATTGATCTTTACCATGAAGAATTATGAATCTGACTGAATCATCGGTGCTAATTAATTTAAAATTCAAATTCAAATTAACAAATTAAAGAAAAAAATTATATTGCTACCTGGGACTAGGAAAATGTAAGAACCTGCTGATAGAAACATTGAAATGTACCAAAAAAAAGTTGATGGTTCCTTTGTTGGTAAACAGTGATTAATAATGATCTCATTAAACTCTCATGTGACCACTAATCTATACAAATAGATATACATATATATTTATTTATTTTATATACAAACCTTATTTATTTATATACATATACATACATACATATATATGTATATACACACACACACACACACACACATATATATATATATATATATATACTATA